ATATCAAAACTTAAAATAAAAGACGAAAGTTATTTTTAATCAAATCTTCCTATTTCGACACTACCGAGACATAATATTAATTGCAATAATCAATATATGGACAAACCGAATCGGCACACAGTCTATTAAGATCTGATATAATTATATTTGCATATTCACTTATAAATTATTACTAATTGTAAGACCCAAATTTGTGTTTATAATAAGCGTTTCTATATATTTCATTTAATATTTTTAAAAATAAAATTCTATTTATATGTAGATATATAATTTTTGTAAAGTACATTTAAAAAGAAACTGAAAATGCAAACATACTATAAAACATATTAAAATATCCAAATGCATTAAAATATATAATATATTTCAAATTTAAACAGACTTTTTATTATTACGCTTAATGGCAAAAACAAAGAATTCAAATATATTATAATTAATAGATTATGAAAATAAGATAACAAGCAAATTGTATGAAAGTTCTCAATGTTACAATTTTACATATTTTGTAATTACAATAAAACAACAATCATCGTAAATTGCTGTTATTTACAAAGAATCGAAAATTAAATTATCGTACAGTTAATCAAAAGAGTCAGAAGTAAATTTGTAAACGATCAGTGCAAGGAAAAGTCACATTATTATATCCGAGTTACTTATCTGAGAACGTAAGCAAGATTCATATAAAAAAATTAATTAATATTTAGAACGAAGGAGACATCAGAGGCAGAATTAAAGCGCGCCTAACTTCAAGCCGCAGCACGACGTGCATCAACGGGAATACTAACGAATGTGTTTTACCGCGAAACTTCGCGGAACGTGGCGAAACAGTTAATCAAATGAAAAGTGTATCTTCCCGCATCCTGCGAAAGGATTGAGCGAGTAAACTCGATCGAACGGCGTTAATTGATCTGTATCGTCGATCGATTGCAAAGACATTTGATCGACTGAAAGTGCCACATTTTTTTGCGAAAAGCCTGCTTATATGAAGATAGATATTGCACATTCCCGTTGAAACTATTAGAAGACAACAATAATAAATAATGCTCATTTCTATCAATATAAATTAACTTTAATCTCGATTTAATTCACTCTTTATCTTATCTAATAAATAGAAAAGAATAAAACGTCAAATAAATCGAGATTAATAACATTTCTAACTGTATCGTTCCTGCTGTCTATTTACGATTATATAATTATGATTTTCATACAGATTCTATTTTGTAAGTTAATTGAGTGTTGTGGATTATTTCAAGATCTTTGGATCATCCCTACGCTCCCCAACGTTACCGGAAGAAATTATGAGCGTCGATCATGTGAGTTTGTTGTAGTTTCTTCGATGTAAGATAGTTGATGGCTTGATGGTGGATATCTACAAGTGGTCGGAATTCGAATATATTATAGTTCTCGTTCAGCTCGTTCGAGATCATAGCGCAGTGCTGCATATGTTGAAACGGATACCGGCAACCTCAAGAGGCATCGATTTTCCTTGTATTTTCGACTATTCAACGATAATCGAACTGATCCAAAGTGATTGAACAACACGAGTAAGTTAGGCATCATACACGAAGAACGTGTCCCATCGTCTGGGATTGTTTGTTTATTCTCTCCTTTTTTTTGTATATTTGCTCGTGTCGCAGCATGTGAGATTAGTGTAGCGCTGTCTCAGCAAATCCTGTAACGTTGTAACACGATACTCACGTATCAGAAATCTAACCACAAAGTACTGGTGAGTTACATGGAACATTGGTAGTAGACGATTTAAGAAAGCTTCAAAAGTTTCTGAAGCTTATCGAACATATCAAGGCATCCATTTCCTTCCTGCAACGATATTGAATCGTAAAACGCTTTTTTCTGGTAGTGTATAAAATAAATCAATTTTCATACACTTTGTATTATAATATGAGGTTTTATATTTCTACATTCTTTAAATGGATACATATGATGTAATAAGTTGGAATGAAATAAATATACATTTTATTTCAATTTATTACATCCTGTACATCAGTTCAGAGAATGTAGGAATAAAAAACAAACTTTTAGATTGAATCGGATTGAATAAATGTAGGGAGTCAAATTCATTTTAATTTATGAATTAATAGGCCTTGTTCTTTTTGGCTGAACTTTTGAACTTTAGTTCAGTCAAAAGAACAGACCTAATGATGGTCTATGAATCTTGAGCAATTATTATAAATACATATAAATGTAAAATACTTATAAATCGAATTATTTCTACGTTTAATTCATTTCTTATCTCTATTATCTAATAGGAAGGATAGCATATAAAAAAATTTATTTAGGTATATACTGCATTAAGCATAATGTTGCATTTAGTATGATTGTAATAAGAAAATCTTAATTTTGGAATAATTTATCTACAGTTTATCAATACAACACAATATACTATTTATGCTTCTACTTTTTGAATACTTTATACATATGAGAAAGAAAAGCTTTATTTCAATCATATGGGATATATTTCAGGTTAATTTTAAATAGAAAAATTTCTATTATTTTTGACAATGGATGACAATTGGGAAAGTGATAATAAAACATCATCAAGAAGATATGATCGAGGTTATGATCATAGGAGAGGAAATAGAAGGGAACGAGGAAGTCAATTTTATAGACGCTCTAACAGATCATTTGGGGATAACAATGACTCGAATAAACAAAGTTACAATAATGATTCATATAGAAAGAGTGATGAAAAGTCAAATAGTACAAATGGATTGGTTATGTATATTGATAGCAATAACATTGGAAGACTCATCGGGAGGGGTGGCAGCAAAATTAAAGCTCTACAAGAAGATAGTGGTGCTAGAATTAATGTAAATAAAATATCTAAAACAATGTAATAAAATATGCATTGTACAATTTAATCCATTATATTCAATCCTATATTTAATATATATAACTGATTTTCTTTATCTTTACATAGATCGACAAACAACATAATGAAAATGGACAGAGTGCTGTGACATTAACTGGTACAGATAATGCACAACAACGAGCTAAAAGTTTAATAGAGGAGTTATTAATTGAAAGAGGTGGAACTGAAAGAAATAATACACACGAAAATGAATCTGCGCAAAAAATATCTCAGCCTGAGGAAAAGGAAGAAATTGATTGGGCTAATTTTGATTGGAACAAGGCTAATGAAGAATATGTATGTTTCACACGACAATAAAAGATAAATTATAATATAAGTGAGTACACAAGTATAACAATTGTTTTTATAGGAGGAGCGTCAGAGGCAAAAATGGGCGGCTTTACCTCCTATTATAAAAAATTTTTACAAAGAAGATCCAGCCATTGCTAATATGCCACAGTCAGTGGTAACTCATTTCAGGAAAACTAACAATAACATAGAAGTTAGACATGTTTTTGAGAACACAGGAGGTTCTGATGAAAACATGAAAATACCAAATCCTGTGCAAACTTTTGAACAAGCTTTCCATGTAATAAAGCAATTGAATTTATAAATTCATTTATTATTTTAACGCAAATACTGATATGTTACTTCATTTATATTGCAGGCGTTTCCAGATATCCTTAAGGAAATACGAAAACAAAACTTTGAAAAACCAAGTCCTATACAATGTCAGGCGTGGCCTATTCTACTGAGTGGTCAGGATCTCATTGGTATAGCGCAAACTGGAACAGGTTCGATTGTTTTTATTAAGACTTGAGAAACGATAGGCATATGAATACATCAAATATGATAGAGAACATCACGATCAAAATTAGATGTTTCGAATAGTAATATATATATTCTTTATTAAATCAATTTATTTCAAATATGATTGCACGCCGATAACCGAACTTTCAACACACAATCAATCCGAAAATGCTAATAATCCCCTAAATTAAATTAGAATTATTCGAAACGTCAAATGGCTTGCCGCTCGGTGCGATCTGTAGATCTGAATTCAATCCCACCTACGCTTATTAGATTTACGCGATTTTTCGCGTTTTATAAAGAGCTAAAAATAGCTCCACCTGGTAATTAAGAGACTAAGCTTAACGTCTTTGTCTGCCAGCATTGATCAGCATCTTCGCCAATTAGTACCCAAATTTGTAACATCCTCGAAGTTTTTGATGAAACATTATATAGATTTTGCATCCACAATTAAAAATCAAATCAATTTATTCGAATATTTATTAAAACAATTAATTGTTTCAATATAAATATTAAATGAATTGATTTGATTTCTGTATATATAGAATAAAATACTTGGTTTATAATACTTTACAAGAAATAGAAAAATATGTTTTACATATTATGAAGAGATATATATTACTTCGAGAAACCTAGAATCGATTGTTTTTATTTTGCGATCTATTATATGCGCCTAAGTGTAAGAGGATAATTATGATTTCAGGAAAAACTCTTGCTTTTTTACTGCCTGCTTTGATCCACATCGATGGGCAAGTAACTCCACGCGACGAACGTTCTGGGCCAAATGTTCTTGTTATGGCTCCAACAAGAGAATTGGCATTGCAGATCGAAAAGGAAGTAGGAAAATATTCTTATCACGGCATTAAAGCGTAAGTTTATTCCGAATAATATGTACTTATATCTTTTAACTTCATAATATCTTTTAATTGTAAATTATTTAAGGGTGTGTGTATACGGTGGTGGAAATCGCAAAGCACAAATAGACACTGTGACAAAAGGTGTGCAAATTGTAATTGCAACTCCCGGAAGATTAAACGATTTGGTTCAAGCAAATATATTGGATGTGTCGGCTGTGACGTATCTTATACTCGATGAAGCAGATCGTATGTTGGACATGGGTTTCGAACCTCAAATTCGTAAGACTCTTCTAGGTGTACGACCAAATAGACAAACTATCATGACAAGGTATATATATATATGTCATATTTTAAAAAAATTCTTACCACTTTTAAAAATGGGATTCGTTTAAGGAAAAGAGAAAAAAATTTAATCATAATTTTTTGTCCTTTTAGAATATATATATTTTTTATTTCTATTTATAAAATTTATTAGATATTTTACATCTTTAAATAAATAATTTGTATTACCTCTCTCTAGAATAATTCAAAATATATAGTCTAAAAATTCATGTATAATATCAATATTATATTATAATTAATAAATATTATCTAATAATGATACTTATCTTTTTCAGCGCTACGTGGCCCCAGGGTGTAAGACGCTTAGCCCAGTCATACATGAAAAATCCGATTCAAGTATTTGTTGGATCACTTGACTTAGCAGCTGTTCATTCTGTAACACAGAGGATTTACATGATTAATGAAGACGAGAAAATAGATATGGTTAGTGATGTCACATATGTTTATACTAAATTGATACAAATTATTTTTAAGATGTTATATTAGTTTATTATTATCGTTAATGTATTGTAGATGCATCAGTTTTTCCAAGAAATGGGTCCTCAAGATAAAGTCATAGTATTTTTCGGTAAGAAATCAAAAGTGGACGATGTCTCTAGTGATCTGGCTTTAACGAATATCGATTGTCAGAGTATTCATGGCGATAGAGATCAATCAGATAGAGAACAAGCATTAGAAGATCTGAAGACTGGAGCCGTTCAGATCCTTCTCGCAACCGACGTGGCTAGTCGAGGAATCGATATTGAAGATATTACGTAAGTTTTACATACATTATATTATTCAAGATATGACATCAATATGTTTTTGTTCTCATTTTAGACACGTACTGAATTATGACTTCCCACGGGATATAGAGGAATACGTTCACCGAGTCGGTCGTACTGGACGCGCAGGTCGAACAGGTGAAAGTATCACTTTTATGACAAGACAGGATTGGCACCATGCTAAAGCACTCATTGATATTCTTGAAGAGGCTAATCAGGTTAATAGATATACAAGGAATATTTTAATTCTTGTCAATTTTGTGTAGAGTCCACCAATTTGTACTCTTTATTTCAGGAAGTACCTGAGGAAGTATATAAAATGGCTGAAAGATATGATGCATGGAAAAAGAAAAAAGAACAAGAAGATCCATACGGAAGAGGCAACAGAGGCGGTAGACGCGGCTATCGTAGGATGTAAAATGATTAATTAATGATGCTAAGACTTAGGTTACATTGTGTTTAGTATAATCAATACCAGATTTAACACATACACATTGTGATACTATTTTTAGTCCATACAACTTTGAAAAGACTAATTTCATAAAACAAAACAGTATTCTTTTTCTTTATTTTTTTGTTGATTGTCAAAATTAATTATACATGATCAATATCTATTATAACTCGAATGTCTCATTGAAATATTAATATTTAAAAAATGCTTGCAACAATTAGAATAGCGATGCACTGTAAATCAGCGACATTTAATTATACTTTTTTAGTTATTAATTGCGAAATATAATTTTGTACTACAAAGTATTATTATTAAATATGCTAATTAGCATATCTTTTGTTTCTCATCTAAGTTCTCTCTCTATACACCATATTTTATATTTGTTCAAAAGATTGTTTATGTTTATGATATTCGAAGTTAATGAAAATATTTTTTTACTTACAATCAGTCAATTCATATTTATTTTTTAATCCACAACACATTATTTCAGATATATAACATAAATAAATATATTATTCATATGTTAAAAAATACGCAAATGAGTAGCAAGAATATTTTATCAGAGATGGCATCACTAAAAATGTGTTATGAGAACATAATAATTTTACTGTAACTTTTTTTAAAAGTAATTCTACATACATATTATCCAATCGATTTTATATCTTCTGATATATCAAATCTTTTATTATAAAAAAAAGTATTGCGTTAGATTTGAAATTATAGTAAAATACAGCAACACTTTAAATAAAAAAAAAACAAGTTCATTCAAATTGATTCATAAAATTCAAGATACCTCTGTTTCATTCATATCAACATCTAAGTAAAGGTTTCACAAAAATACATAACTATCAAGATAAAATATGATAAAATAAGATGTATAATGTATTAAGTAGCTATTTCGCTAAGAATTCAAAAGACGCAACCATTTAGAAAAAACGAATGTTGGAGCTTAAGCATATAGTGAATTCAGTTGTAAACTTTGAAGTTTTTCGTTCTCGTGTATTTCTCAGCGAAGATTTTACCACTCGGAGTCGGTATTGAGAACGCTATGTCATCCAACGACATCACGTAACCATAGAAGAATTTGGCTCTGAAATATAAACGAGGAGATATTTTGAACAATGCAAGACTTCTTCGAAGAAAGTCGACATATATGTATTAACGTGCAATTTACCTCAAAGTATCGACGAGTTTAGTGGCTATACCCCGTTTGCGATGACTCATCGCAGTCCAGACGACGTTTATGCCACATTTCGTAGGTGTACTCTCTGCGGTGCAACAGTTAAGTTCAATTAGTTCAGGAATCATACGAAACGCCGTTTTGATGTGTTCTGCCACCAATACTCCGAGAACGTTTTTCTCACATATATACAAGAAAATCTGCAAAAAATGCATTTTTATCAATTTCTATATTAAATTCGATGGTATGTGATAAAAATAATGTGTTTGTAAAATATAAATGTTTATGTGGTAAAAATAATGAGAATAAGATAGCATATACTTGCCTTTTTATTCTGATAATTCGAAATATTCATGTCTGCCAGTCCCAAATCTCTATCTACAACGTCCAAAATTTCCAATACTTTCTTCCAATGTTGCTTGGGATCATGTGGCTCGATCAAGATTATTCTACTGGAGGTAAAAGGATCCTCCAATATAACACGTTCGTTCTTCCAACCCTGAAATATGTGTAAAAAAAAATATTTAAATATAGTATCTGTAGTAAAATATAGTATTCACTTTACAGGCACAAATGTAACCTACATGGAATTTTAAAGTTCGTACGCTATTGTGATAATTCAAGTGAGCATTTTCATCTTCAGCATCGCCCATTTGGTACACAACATTACATTCTGGACACTGAGTGGCGCCAAAACGTTTTTGACCAGCGTCTAGCTGATACTGATCTTCTGCACCACCTCCTTTTGCAGATATCTGCCATTGCATATTTCTTTTTGTTGCTTTTGTAGTCTTGGCATTACCTGTCTCTCTAAAACAAAGTTAAAACATATATCTTGTTAAAACAGATTTAAAGAATTTTTAAAATTATCTTTGCACGACTTAAAATATTTTTTCAAAAAGACAATCGTGTACAAAAAATATAAATTATATAAACGGGATTAAAATATTAAGAAATTAATATATAACAAAATAATATAAAATTAATATAATAGAAAAGCAAAAAGATATAATTTTGTGGAAGTCAAAATCTTACGGATAAATGTAAGATTCGAGATTTATAACTCACAAACGTACTCAAAAATATTGTCAGGTACAGAATATCCTTTGGTAAATAACGGAAAATATCTTTTTTCGGTGTTCTCTTCGATTTCTTTTTCTTTTTCCTTTTTATTATTATTATTATTATTATTATTACTATTATTAGCGTTATCAAGTGAAAGATTTCCAAAGTTATTCAAAGGAGCAGCATCCGTAATGTTCATCGTCGAAGTCATGTTGCTAAGCTCGGTAGCTGGAGACATAATCGTGTCTTTCGACAACATTGTCGTCGATTGTAATGGAGAAAATGCGTTCGCTATATGGGTCAATGATGTCATCGTATCGTACTCATCGTTCGCCCAGTCATCCTCTAGAATTCTCAGGAGATCATTAACTTTTTCTTGATGCAATGTAGCTTCAACTTCCGGTTCGTCAACGATTAGATCGGTGACATCCAGAGAGACGTTCACAGTTTTCAGCTTTTGCTTATGTGCATTCAATGAAACGCGTTTCTGATTCTCTTTCAATTCAATTTTACCATCCGTGACCTTCAACTTAATCTTATCATTCACCGTTATCGTAGCTGCCTGATTTGATCTGATCGTCCTGTTGGTTTTAAAAAATCGCTTATTCTCGTCGATCATTGGCGACGGGGGGGCCCTTTCTGCAATCATGTTTGCTTCCATCGATTGAGTTTCTTCCACAGGTGGACTCTTGCTTGAAGCTGTGAGATTCTGCGTAATATGTTGTTCCTCATTCTTCAATGTCTCTGTATTCACCTTAGGCTTCGGCTTTTTGATCCCATGGCCCACACCAGCGTTTATCTTACCAAATCTCCGCTTCTTTGTCAATGAACGTCTACTGCTGTTTTGTGAAGGTAAACTTCGTCTCTTTTTAATGTCGCTGCTCTTGTAATTACTGAAAGGCCGCTCGGACTTCACGTTGCCACTGTAAAATGTTTTTGTACTTAATGAGAAATCCTTTAGGCTACTGTATTCGTGTTTCCTCTCCTGAAACAACGATGCTCTCGCTCTAGGCACGAAGCCGTCGTCTCCCTTAAACAGTTTCGTTGGTTTTGCCCCCGACTGCTCGCGCGCACGCCTCTTTAATGTGTTCTCCTTCTGTTCAGGCGAGAAACCCACGCTCGTTTCAATCGTGCTGAAAGACTTTCGTCTGTGCAGCTTTGGCAACGGAACTGTTTTGCTTACAGAACTCAACGGCGTTGTTTGCTTGCTCTCGGGGGTTCTGCCCTTTCGAGGTGTTTCTGTGATACTTTGATTCTGTATCTCTGTGGCGAAGCTTCGCTGGGGTGTCTCTGGTACTATTCCGATCATTTGTTCTGTGTTTGTCTTCGAGCGTTGTGGTGTCAACTGACCCATCAGTTCCCTTGGACTGGATGGCAACGATCTCTGAAAGCGGCTAGCAGAAACCATTTTACATCTTGGTGAATTTCTAGCCTCTCTGGTGACTTTTTTGAGTGACTTAAAGGGTGACATGCGTTCCTCCGTGTTGAATCTTAAACGATCCCAGGACACAGACGTATTGAAGACGATTGACTTTTCAGGTGTTGCGAGTGGAGACACAAATTCTCTGCCTGAGGAACTCTGATCGCTGATACTTGGACTTCGATCAGTGAGAGCCAAAGGTGACATGGGTCCCAAATCTGATTCATCTTCTGAGAACTTGTCATTTCTTATATGCTCTGTATCTTGAGAAACGCTCTTTTTAGCAGATTTATCACTGGATGGTGCAAAGAGACATTTCTGGGCTCGTCGCGGAGTACAAAGTAACTTTCCTGGACTGCTATCCATTGTCTAATAACTCTCTAAAATTTCAATCTGAAATAAATATTTTAAGATCAGAATAATTAAGATTTCTCAAGTAAATCTAAATTAAATTGACTCTGATAGCAAAAAATTAAAATCACAATTATTGATAAGCTGAAAATATATACAGATAATGGAAAAATTAAAGAGAATTCACGTTAAAATTTTTGACATATATTTATCAAGTTTCTGAGAATAAGATTAACAAACATTGATAAATTCAGTCATTTGCATTACATTGGATTAGTGTACATTTAATCCTTAGTATACACAATGATTTTTCAGTTTTTTATTAGTGTTTCTATAATTATTATAGAAGCACTATCTTTTATTATACATAATTGTTTAAAACGTTAATATGCTTTTACATATAGCTTCACTAATTTCATGTATGACGGATCTTAATATAAACTTCGTTTTTAATATAAATTTAAAGTACTTAATGCAAATGATCGAATTTGTTGTGACAGTTAATCGCACAAATGTTTAAGAAGAAATTGGAAAAAGTATTTTTCGTACAAATTAACCTAAATAAACCGGTGAATTCGGCAAAGCAATTTCTACACGTCGAAGATCCTCGATGACTGATAACAATACGACTTTCGGCGTGCGAATAATGTGCACTAATATTCTTCAAAAATATCCGAAATCAGCGTATTTCTTATATAAGTTTACGTTCAGGATGCGTCAACAAATGCGCGGGAAAACAGCCCAGAAAATTGAATGCAATGTACGAATATCTCATTTCTGATCATTTCTGATAAAACTTTTGTAACAAACGATTGCGCAGAGTTGAGCTGCGCAGTGCATTGTTTGCGCATGCGTTTCGATTTTCGCGCTAAACTTTTGTATGGATAGTCGTGGCATAAACTTGAGATCGGCCATCCTAGCTTTTTCTCGTGAAAAGTTTAAAATAAAAGTCCGTGTGATTGTAAAAATAATTAAGAGTAAGAAACTGATAATACAGTACCACCGACGAGATACTATTAAAGACCGACATTCTTACGGGAGTTGGCGTCCTTGTGAATATTGAAATAATTAAAAGTTAAAAACTGAAAATA